CCTCCTCCTCCCTCCCGAAAGGCTGTAAGATAGGATAACATTTTGGGAACAAGTTTAGTGTCACCAGTGTTATGTCCTACATTGAGATGTCCCAGTTACTCTTCAGCAGGTGGGTTTGCTATTTGCGGCACACAGGGTCAGAGGGTCACAAAGGAAAAGCTAAGAGAGCTAAAAAGTAACTCCATTTCCCTCTGCTAGTGGAGTTCGGCAGGACTTACATTTTATTTTATTTTTCTGGGAGGTCTGAAGCCAAAAAATCCCTAGTAACAGTTTCTTTATATTTTCACCAATAAGAAGCAAATGGTTAGTGACAATTAAAATTCATCAGTCACCAGGGAAAGTCACAAACAGATATAAAGGGAGGCAATGCTTGAAATTCCAACCAACACATACTAAAAAATGCCCTTTTATTGTATATTAATGAACACAGTCAACCTATATTTACTGTTTTTGACTTAATAAAAAAAGTCTCAAAAAGCTGCAGAGCCCAAGTCGCACGTGTCCTAGACCAGATGAAACATTCCAGGATTCCTAAATCTCTTATTTTTCTGTTAACAGCAGACAAAGCAGCATGCCTCTTTCCTGCTGAAGCATAGCTCTTCTGTCAGTAAGTCTCTAAAAATAATTTATTGCCTTAAAAGTAAGAATAGGAATGCGGTTAGCCATTTACTGATGAGTACAGATTGAAAGATAAACTCATAGACGATGTAAATCCAGAACAGCAAACAGAGTAACATAACCAAAGAGGAATGTGGGGCAACGGAATACCCCGATAGCTATATAACCTGGATCCTGCTATGAAAATGATAAAATTTCATAAACCCAGCTCTTGGAAAATACTATTAACTATGATATTATGTCCTGTTTAAGGTGATAATAAAATTGAAATGCAAACCAGAAAAAGAATTTAGCATGATTTTAAACAACCTGATTCCTAAAAAATAATAATAATAAATAATAAAAGATTTTCAACCTCAAATATGATCTTCCCCCATGAAATAAATCTGAAACTGGGCTTTGTGTTTCAGAATAACTTCACTAACAATGCGGCTGTCATAAAAATTACATTTTCCACCTTCATCCATCCCTATAAATGTCCTCCTTTTTTTTTTTTAGGAAAGGAAAAAAGATTTCTAAATCTTTACAGAACTACTGAAATATACAAAGTATTTTATTTTAATATATAAAAAACCAGCAGCAATGTTATATGAAAAGACCTGTAAGCAAGAAGTTATGGGCTTGTGTTTTTAGGCAAGGAGCATTTAGATTTATTATTTGGAAGGTTCAAAGGTTAAAACTAAGAAAATGCCGGATATTTTGAAGGAGGGGCTAGCTCCGACAGGGCTCACATGACAGCTGCTAATTGGAAAATGTTAAAGAGGGAAGGGGGGAGGGCAGGGTATCTGCCTTCTCTTCGTTGTTTATTGTAACATTTGCTTTTCACTAAAAACTAAAAAAGAAAAGCTAAGATTTGTATAACTCTCAAAACAGGCTTAAAGTAAATAAATCACCCCCAGGCTGATTGAGCACAGCTGACACCCCATCAAGGCTCCCTTGCAAAAACAGAAACAGAAGACTGAATTTTAAAATCAAACTATATTTCTGTAGTGAATTTTAATAAAGACAGCCTACTTGTCAAACTAGCTAAATTGTTTTGTCATTATGTTTACAAAATTAAAATACTCTTTATTATAATGCATGCCATTTTGTTTTTTGATTTGTCTAAATGTTTATTGATATTGAAAGAATGCATATTTTCCTAAACTTTCTTGTGTTGCCTTTTTAAAAAAGATTCTCTTCACAACTGACAACCTTCTAGAAGGTAAGTCAAATCAAACAATGATAATTAAACACTGCAAACTATAGATCAGTTAATTATAAAAAGCAAGCTGTATTTCTTTAAAACCTTTTAAATGGTGTTATTTATTAGAGAAGTCGTGGCACGATTTTTTTTCCAAGTATACATTTTTCATGTCTCTATAAATACTGTTAGACTCCTTAAAATGCATTCTTCCTTAAGTATACAATTTTTACATTTAATTCAGAATGATGAAAAGAATTTCCATGATTAATGCTTACACTGTATTGACATAAGATAGGAAAGTAATAACCCATAGCTAGATTTAAAGTTGGATTTATGACATCATTTTGATTGTGCACATTAGCTGCAATTACCTGCACCACTCATTCTGAGCCACTAGATGGTGTAAAAAATAAATTTAAATGGTAAAATTTCATTCCATCACCATGAAATCTAAATATAACTCTGAGAAAGAGTAAACAAATTTCTAAGCACCTAACATTGCTAGTGATTTCTGTACTTATTTATAATAATGCCCAGAATTCAAATTGCTGCATCATTCGCATATTAAATAAATTTATATTACCTTATGGTCTATGTTTGCCAAAGTTTTGATAAAAACTGGAAGACCAAACGAATATAAAATTATTAGAGTAACCAGAGGTTCCTATCTGAACTTGCCCGATGCAAAGTGGGGAAGTTAAGAGTCTTCACAAATATACCCTGAAACCAAAGCAACCTGACAACAAATAGCCAAGATGCCTATCAATAGCCCAGAAGTTGTCCAAATTCCATCAAGGGAAAACTAAGTGTCCTTTCTTTCACCTTCACCAAGATCAACTTGGTTGATTCTACTAGGCCTGCAGCTGGGTAAATATGAGTATTTAATCATCCGGCCAGTGGTGATAATGTGCTAGCTAACAAAGTCTTGTCTCTTCTTTCAAAACCCAACATGAACTTCAGATAAAATGCCCATCTCTAGAAGGCCTCTCATGAAATGCTGGCAGTGGGACTTTAAGTCTTGTGAAAGGCTGACAAAGGAAGTATTTTGGGTCAGCCCATACCCAAATAATGGCATTTAGAAATTTTAGGTGTGGGAGGATGTTCTTCCTATGGGTTGGACCACCACCCTTAGCTCTACGACAGGCTTCACATATAAAATGACAATCTCCACAAAACAGGTTTGGGAGAATAGGGATGACCTCCCCCAGAATCCTAGAAATAGGGTACACACCTATGATTGTACCTTTCATGTTAATAGAAAACGATTTTCTGAGGCAATGGTAGAAATGAGACATGCCTATAGGAAGGCTGCTTACTTCACAGTCTGTCCCGGATGCTGGTCCTCTGACGCTTTCAGCAACAAGAAAACTTGATTCATAAAGAAGGCTTCAAGAACCGGTCCACACGGGCTTTGTAAGTTTCATATTTTACCACAGGAATATAATGGCTACATGCCATTTATCCCTACTGTCTGAAATTCCAAGTGAAAGCTAATCAACCTTTTACTTTTATATGCAATTTTACACACAATTTAATTTCATACAGCTAAATTGGTGAAAGAAACTGTGAGCTAAGTTAAATTTTAGGAATGATTCCAAGAAAGTTTCTTGTCAAGAACTGAAACTAATCGGTTTGCTTTCTATATAAGTAATTAACTCAAAAAGCTGCTGTCTTAACACAGGGCTGTTGAATGCTCTGTAATAGGCTTAATCCGAGAGTTGTGATATGGCTATTTATAGCCTCCAAGGACTGAAAGCATCTTTCTTAAAAAAAAAAAAATCCTGTACTAGGAGCAGAGGAGTGAGAGAAATAGGGGACAGGTCTTAGCCTTGGGCACCTCAGCTAGCAATGATCACAGCTGGCTCAACTTACTGTTTTTCTCTAATAATCTTCAAATGCTTATATCTCACTTCTTTTGGATTCCTGGTGCCCAGAATGGGCCCTCACACATTGCAGGTACTTTGAGATGGCTTCAAATTAAACGGAAGGAAGGAAGGAAAGAAAGGAGGGAGGGAGAGAGGGGAGAAGAGAGGAGATGAGGAAGGAAGGCACATATAAGCACAAGAAAAAACAGAGCGGAAAGCCCTGGTTGGGAGTTGAGACGCCTGGTTAAGTACTGGCTCTGGCACTTTCTCAACCCAGGTTCCCTTATCTGTAAAACCAAGGACAGACAAATGATCCCCAAGATCTCTCACTCAAATGTTCTGTGATTCTCCATGTGTGATTTCATGCACCAGCCAACTAATGTTTGAATTCAATAAGTAACTTTATTTCCAAGTTCCCTTGTGTATCTTGAAAGTCAGATTATCTTTCTGCAAAGTCCAAAATATTTCTCCAATCAACAAAGCATATTAAACTCCTAGACTGATGATTTATGTAACATTTCTCTACTTATATTTACATAGTTTCCATATATCATTTGTTTCTAAAGGAGCCTCATGAAGTAGATGGAGGGAGGTATCTTTTAATCCCCATATTACGAGAGGGAAAGTTAAAATATGAAAATTGAAAGGAGCCATACACATCATCATAAGTGTAATCAACTAAGGAGCTTGACTGTTAGATTTAAGGACAGAATGATTTTGAATAATCCAGTATCTTAAGAGGCAGAGACAAGGATTTTTTTATATATATATATATACACAAGGATGAGTTCATGGCAATATACTTTGCTATCATGTTTACAAATATAAGTACATTAAAAAAAATTACCTAAACCTGTCTGAATAGAAAAGTATTGCTTTTAAATTGTCGGAACACCCGATGTATTTACATAAAGATGAAAAACTTGTTCTATAAACACAGTGTTTCCAGTAGTGAATGGCAGACAAAATCAGAATAAGCACACAGAAGAATAAAAAGGAAGAGGAAAGAAAAACATAATAAATAACCTAATACCTTACAATGTTAACTTTCACATAAGTATATTGTTTCTGGAGAAGGCCTTGTGTGGATATGAGCCAAAGGCTTAAGTGATAGGTAAACACACTGTTAAGTTGAATCCTGTTATCTGATTGTGTTTAAAATTTGATTATATTTCACTTGACAAAATAATTAATTATTGTGAACTCCAATTGTTAACAAGGACCTAAAAGAATTCCAATTGGCATTTTCCCCCAGTGTTGTAAAGCCAAATGCAGTGAAGTCTAGTTTTGTATTCATCCTTTACCGTTGTCATTTTGGGGTATCTGCTTACCTTGCTAAGAATGTAAATCACATCACCACGTTTAAATGACAGCTCATCAGAAAGAGCTCCTGTGCAGTCCCACAGACCCTGGTAAAAATTAGCATAATCGGTGCTTTTATCTCCTAGGAAGAAGAAAGAGAAAACATGAGTTAGAGCTTTCAGGTAATGGGCCCTCATTTAAAAATGAACTAACAGACATGAAAGGGCCACTCCAAAAGAGTCTACAGAAAATCCTGTCCTCAGTCAAAGCACATTTTATTACATCCCCACAAGAATCCTACTTCTTGCTGTCGTCTAATTAAGGACCATTTTCAAAAAGATCCGATTTCGAATGTTTCCTTTTCCCTCTCCCTTTCTTGTTTTCACCTACAACTTGTAATTGCAACATGTTTCTTCACATCTGCACCTAAAAGTCACTTCCCATTTATTTTATAGAACAAACCTAAGCCCATTAGCAACATGTTCTGAAGATGAATCAGCCACCCTGCCTCACGAGCAATATCCACCAGACGTGATCAACACGTTCTGAAATAAGCACCACACAGCATTTGGGACCTGGCATAAAAACAATAAGGAGAAAGGAGCTGAGGTACAAACATAACCAAACAAGGAAACAAACAAACAAAATTTTTTTTTAAATTTCTGCAACCAAAGGCTGACTAGAGAATAAAATGAAAGTTATCAAGAGGATGTTTCCAGTTCTTTGGGGACTTTTGTCCCCAAAACCTCTCAAAGTTATTTCTAAAATATTTTAGCAACTTTGAAATTGCCAATGCTGAAGCTGCATTTTTCAAGATTTCTGTCGTCCCTAGTTTAGGACCTTAGGCTCTGAATAAACATGCAACAGCCACTGGCGTTATCAGCTCATCCTTCTAACAGCATAAGCACAATGGATGCGATGTGCTCAAACTGCCATCCAGACCATTAACTGATTGATTATTTAGCGCTCTCTACTTGGTAATACCACAATAAACTGGGTAATAAATGCTTTGTCACTTATGCAATGTGGGTCTCCTGAAACACAGCACAGAGTTAAATACACTGGATGCTTTTGTTACACTGAGAACTGTTTCCTGTTTTTAATTTCATGATAATTGAGTTTTGATGAGTTCACACAAAAAGAATGCGAGTAATATCAATAAGATGTCCGTGTATTCACTAACCAGGCAGAACGTACACGTGCTGACAACTTCCATCATTGGAATGTCATCTTTGAATTCTGAGTGAATAACTGTGGAGACACATGCTGGATCAGGGTTGTCATCTTAGTTTTGTTATATGGCTCTCAAACAGCAGGCTCCTGGGCAATTCCAGCAAGACCAGTCACATTAGCACGTCATGAGGGTGTTTGTCTTATGACATGACACACCATTTGTGATTTATGCCAAGTGTTGTTTATGAGAAATTTTTAAAATTCTCTTTAATACCTGAGACCATTTTTAAAGCCAAAAAGAAAATCTGAATAATACGGAGTCTGAATATTTAGGAAGTAAGATGCTATGTTTCAGTTATGCTTTTAAGAAAACAAATAGGGACTAGAATATACAACCTAGCAAAATCCTCCTATTAAATTCTTTTTTTTGTTTTCTAAGAATCAAAACAAAAGAGAGGGGAAGGAAGAAGAGGGGAGGGAAGGAGGGAAGAAAGGGAGGGAGGGGCACAGAGAGACAGACACCTTATTGAGTTCTCCACTCCAGCATTTGAGCACTCATCACTGATGTCAGCAGGGATGTACACAAGCCTGGGAATCCAACCAAGAACTAACAATGCTCCTGGCCACCCTTCATTACATTTTCCCCCCAAAGCATATTTTATGTAAATTCTATGAATGGACACTAGAGGGCACTCTGGCTGGACAGATCACTCCAAACATTGTCAAATTTTTTTTAAGAAAAAATTACTTAATAATAAAGTGACTGATTTCCTTTAAAAACCACTTATTTAGACAAATAGAGATTTAGAAGTTGAAACATTCTCGTCAGATTAAATCAACTGCTAACTGGGTCAAATGTTGCGCCCTGTGCAGTCCGTCAGTGTCAGTTTAAAAGTCAAGGAATTAGAGCAAAGAGAGGATGACATCATTTTACACGCGAGGCCCTCCCCCACAGTCACTGGCCAGGAGGTAAAAGGATCTAAATAGCTGGTTTCCCCAGTCGAGGCGCCTGTGTTCCCCGTGCAACTCAGCTTTAGGCTTGATCCCAAAAGGTTGAAGAAACAAAATCTGGACTGAAAACTGGAGAGGTTGTGGCTTAGCTAGAGCGTCCCACTGGGTTCTTCAGCTGTTCAGCCTGCTGCCTGCTCTTTCCTTTTTCACAATAGTTTTCCATTCAGTAGATTTTCAAGAGGTGGGGGGAAGAAGGAAGGAAAAGAAAAGTGTACGGTGATTTCTAACACATAATCCTTATCACTTTGGCGTCTCTCTTCCCCTCGATGCGCTTGGCGAAACTCCCATTAACACTAATGGGAGTTATAGGAGCACAGGAGGGGAAGAGAGACCCCCACCGTGTGCAAGATGCATCTCTCCCTAGATGTGCATCCTGCGCATTTCATTAAATCTCGCTGCTGTAAAGAGGCAACAGAGCTCGCTATCTGGCAATCCTGGGAACAAGATGCATTTTTCTACTGTGCTTCCTGCAATCTTGATGATGATGTTACCCAAAGACCAACCTCATTTCTGTGTCCCATATGTGAGCTCTGTTAAAGAACAATAAGTTGTTTATGTCACATGACTACATGTACATACAATTTCCTATTCTATCTATTTCAGCAAGCAATACTAGTTATGATGTAGAAGAATCGTAACTGGGGAGAAAACCTGGCAGTACAAGTTTCTTAGCCTCAGCCTCCTCAGGAAAGTAATGTTAAAATTCTTAATATGAATTCTAGACATAAAAATTAAGAATTATCTCGTTTCTTAGACAGCAACAAGCTCCTCTGGTTTACTTTTCTAAATTTTAAGTGTGGCTAGACGTACACAAAAAATTACGCATCAGTGTAGCCTTAAAAGCACAGTGGGTTTACAAAAGTTAACACTGTTCACCTATACACTGAACAATAATCCATGTGAAGTGTGTTTTTTAAAAACAACAATAACAAAATAAATGGGATGGAGCATAACATTATAAACCACAGATAAGCTTACATTCTGAATACAAATTAAACCTGTTTAGTTGTCTTTACCGCATGAATTAATTTTCCTATTCAATCCTATTCAATCATGATCTATGCTTTCAAAATTATCAAAAAAAAAACCACCTCATTGTTTTTCATCCTGTGAGACATAAATGGTTGAAAAGGGTAAAGAAAGGGGAAAAAAATAACATTTTAAATTAGCCAGCTTGTGAAGGATTTAAACAATGTACTTGCTCCTATAAGTTAAACACACAAAAACAGATCATTGGGCAATAGCAACAGAACTGTTATGAAAATAAAAGCTAAACACTGGAGATATTTTTGCAAAAATGAAAAGATTTTTAAAACACCATGACAATGGATGAAACATACAATAAGATAATGGAGAATCTCTCCTTGAGTAGGGCTAAAGGTTTAGAAACTGTTTTAGAAAGGTAAACATATTGTACAATGTTCAAAAAAATCAAATGGAAATCTTTATTTTATATATAATAAATATATGCAAGCTATAGAAGCTTGAACATGAAAGAACTTGCAAGAGCTACAAGACTGATTTTGTTTTTGCTTACATATTTTACGTTAGAGTAGTCTGAATTTTTTTTTTTTTTTAGTAAAATCAGTCAATGTGAAAAATAAAGAACATTCTTGAGGAAGGTTAGAAGTTCACGTCATGTGATGCTCAGCAAGATAGTAATACCCTTGTCAACTCACTGCCCTGCACAGCAAACAAACTTCTAGTGTTACATCTTTGACAGCCCGGGGAGAGCAAAGGTCACTGCTATGCAAAAGCATTAAAACTGTTGCTTGAAAAGAATTTCATGTCACTAAAGATAAGAATTATTGCAGTGTTTTATAGCTATTGCATGAAAAGCTACGTCTTCTTATTGCATTCCTTTGAGGAAAAACTAATTTTTTTCTTCCTTCCCTCAAAGGCAAAAATTTGGGAGAGAGTTACTTTAAAAGGGCTTTTGAAAAACACAGTTGCTTTAAGCCAAAATACTTATACTTGTGGAAAGAATATCTGTATGTGTTGGCCTTCCACACCTGCGCTCAAATTTAAAAAAGGAAAATGACAATGCTTTTGGCAGCAGCCTATGATACACAAGCAGCCATATATACTTAGAGTGCTATTGCCCGTCATCCTCGAGGTTTCCCTCGGCCTTGGTATTTAGGGCTGCATTTTGCAGGACCGGGGTCCTTGCATCTAATGACTTCGTCCTCACTTCCTTTCTGAAAAAAAGCAAACCAAAACCTGCTCCTGCTTTCCTGTCCAGGTCCGGAAATCAGGCCTCTGCTTCCTTTCCACACATCTCAGTAGGAAGGACTCGGGAAAGCTACTTCCTGAACACACACTTCTTGTCCACCCTGCCCCTGACAGCTTGCAAGAGTGATGTATGGACATATCAGAGAGGGGAGGTGACCCCCCAACTACAGCTCCCTGCAGGACACGGGATGATGTGGCAGACCTTGCCCCAGCGGACATGTGGCTACGAAGAGGTGTAAAGTCCTGATAAGCAGGCAGCCCTTTGCTTCTTTCCGTGTAAAATAATTGCTGGTTTATCAAAACTAACCTCATGCTTGCACTACAGATATGGTTTATCTCCTGCTATTTGGAAATAACAACCAGCAAGGAAAGTTGCCTGTATCATGTGATTCTGTCCAGAGCATGTGTAGTTATTTTTCTAGTCTCGGTCACAATTAGTACCTGGGGCCATGTGCCAAGTGGAAATGGATAAAAGGAATATCCTTCCTAGCCTTCTAGGCCACTGGTGTCCTTTTCCAATTTTTAAGCGGCTGTCACTGGACTCTGGCATTTCTTACCCAATTCATTTGCTTTCTGTGTTAATCATATGCAATGAAGATATGCATGGCCAACATTTAAACAGGCTGCAGATCAATTAGCGGTCTTAAGTTTATCTGATTTTTATCAAAGAAGACAGAGCTGTGGGTCGATTGTCAGAGCCTGTGTCAAGTTGACCTTTTCAGAGATGTCTACATTGCCAGTCCCCTGGGCAACTTGTTGTCCCCTGTTAGTCTCTGAATGGCAGAAGTCTGTTCTGCTCAAGCACAAAGTATACACAGATGTCTATATTACATTCTTATAGGTTTGACAGCAACTGCATGTTGTATCTATAAACTGTCCTTTAGCAGTGACACTTCCTCAATGATGATAAGCTAATTTATGCAACTAAATCTCCTTTGTGCAGAAATGAAAGCTAATTGAGTCATTACAAAGTAATTCAGGAAGGAATACCTTGTATAAATTGGCTTACTTTATAAATCCTCCTCAAGTGGTTTTTCATGCATCCTAAATGGGACTAAGCAGCTTATCAGCCATAAGATATCCAGACCCAAGAAGCCAACTTCGGGGAGCTTTGTACACGTTTTTAAAGCAATGAAAGGGTGACAAACAGGAAAGTGAACAAAATCAAAAGAAGCTTCCCCAGAAAGCTGTGCAACTCATTACCTGTGGTGCGATGAACACTGTCCTGACTCATCTTCCTTTGTGCCTCCACTTTCACCGGAGCCCCTCCTCTTCCTCTTCTGTAAATAAACAACATAGACGGTACAGTGAAGGCTTTCCTCAGGAAGAACAATGCAGTACTCACCGCATCTTGAGAGCAGAACTACAAGTTTATAACACATAAATGTTCCTTTTCAAAGAATGAAACCACTCAACATTCGCATTCCTTCTTCAATAATCTAAAGCTGAAATAATAAACCTCTAGTTACTTCCAAATAACCACCTTACCAGTTGGTGTGATGACACTCAAGATAGTACGAATGTAGCACATATTTTGTTTCAAATACTTAGAGAAACTCATCTGGAACAACCTTAAATCATCTGGGAAAAACCTAAAACCTTAAAGAAAAGCCCTAAAAATCCAGTAGAGTGACACCCAGCATTATACGAATTGACCACATTACACCATGGCACAGACTAAATCATGGTCCTGAAAACATCAACACAGCAAAGAAAAAATATGTGATATAAAATACAGTTAACCTATGTCATTTATTCAGTATCAGATACTCCATGTTTCTCTCTTGATCACCACAGGAGAACACTAGGGTTTCCGCCCTTCAGGATAATTCCCCTAAGATTATACTGAGGACCTACAGTGTGTCAGACACTAGAGCAGATGTTGAGATTTCACAGACAGTCTACAGCCATACCACCCTGGACATGCCCGATCTTGTCTGATCTTGGAAGCTAAGCAGGGTCGGGCCTGGTTAGTAACTGGTTGAGAGATTTCATAGATAAATCATTTCTAAATCTTCATGTCACAGACAAGTAAACTGGGACTCAGAAAGGTAAAGAAGCTTCCGATGTTTGCTTTTCAAACTTAGGTTTGTGATTACAAAGTCCAAGTTCTTTATCCTGTATATATTCAGTGCCTGACCTATATTATGTCCACACCCTCCCATCACATTCCTTTCCCAAGTTACAAGAAGAAAAATGATAAGATTAAATGAGAAGAGTTTTAAACAGAGTCAGTGGACTATTTAATTCTTTTACATCAAAGAAATGTTTATTACAAGATCAATTCCACCACCTAGGGAGTCATACACAATTTAAAAATATTTAAGGCAGGACATATGAACAAAACGGCATGTCAAGGAAAAACTGGGTTCAAAAGAATCATAATTCCAAGGAAAATCTAGAACTTTAAAGAAAAATGTGTAAAAAATACAAATACAGTCATTATGACTATTAAATAATTTGACAAATAAATCTTCATTGGGTATTAACTACCTGTAAGGGAGAGAGGTCCTACCAGAAAAGCAGAGGTAGTAGGAAGCCTCTGCCTTCAGGAAGCGGACAGCCTAGAGGGAACAGAAGACAGGACCTACAGGAAAATGTGACACAGGGCGCAAAGCCTGACACGTGAGGCATAAGGTACTGAAGGAGGGCAGAGGAGAAACTGCCCAGCTGGGGACACCATGAAGGCTCTGAGGGATGGAGAGAATCTAAATAAGGAGGGATGGGAAGAAGGAAATTTCCAGACAGAGGGAGAAGCATGAACAAAAGAACAAGGCATGAGCATATTTATTTTAGCTAAAGCATGTGGTTCTTGTAGGGGAAGAACAGGATGGCCAGAGAACGCTGGTGGTTTGGACAGACTGTTGAAGATCCATGAACATTCTGCCGTGGAACTCAACTTTTACAGGTCTGATGGGGACTAAGAGCCCCAGAACATTTCTGAGCAGAGAAAGGGTGGGATGAAGCTGTTTTGAGGAACAGCCATCTGATCCCCTTGTCCCAGACAGCCTAGAGGAGGGGCGTGGGGAGAGAGACCACTCCCCGTCTAGCTAAGGGGAAAGTCAGTCCTGAACTGCAGGGTCAGAGGAAATGAGGAGATGGTTTGGAGAGGAAAAGGAGCTACAAGAGATAAACTCTGCGCCTGCCTGGATGTGGAAGGCTAAGAGAAAAGAACGAGCAACCAACAAAGACTCAGGTTTTGAGCTTTGTTAACTGAGAAATGGGAACAGCATTACTAAAAAAACAATAGCTAAGATAAGCTATTTCGCACAAGGAGTTGTGTTTCTGACAGGAGAGGTTTAATAATACTGGTAGGGTGATCCAGAGGAAATGTCCAGGGGCAACTGGAAAGCTTTGTAGAGAGATCAGGACTGCAGATGTAAATTGAGAAGTCTCATGCAAATTTTAAAGTGGTGATTAATAAAAACCAGCATTTAAATCTAGCTTGATCCTTACTGTACTTTTAAGACAATTACAATTATTTCAAATTTTTGTAACTCAATTCAAACAAAAGAATGAAAGCTCCAATGTAAGGAACAGCTGGCAATCACTGGCACTTTATACATATTAAGTTGTCCCTAATATTGGCAATTTAATATGGTTCAGTCAAGTAATACATAGAAGACCTAATAAAAACTCTAATGTTAAATCCTGTCTTTTCTCTTCAACAATTATCTCACTTAGGCCAAACCTCAAGGACCAGTTATCACTAATGGGTTAGTAGGGTGTTTTCATACAAAATTTAAAGATATTAGGGACATTTACAGTCATTTAATTCAAACTACTCATTTTACAGATGGTTAATTTTTTTTAAAGGTGAAGGAGAAAGCTTTCTTTACATTTTACACTTTCCCCAGCATTCTCTCTCTTCCAATTTGCTCACAAATTCAACAGTTAGAAGTAAATTAAAAAATAGTTAAGGGCATTTGTCCTCAAGTCAAAAGCTATAATCACGTCAATACAGAAAGCTCTTTTCTTGGCTCTTAAGAAGAGACTATGGGATTTAGATTCACCACCCAAAGTCAGTATCAAGATACCATGAAAACTGATGACAATAATTAAACGGGAAAAACTCTGCTCGTAGCAAAGTTCTCAATGAATTTAGGAGAATTTATTACTAAGAATTTCTTATTTTATTAAAATTTAAGTGCTATAATATGCACAATGCATTCTTAAATTTTCAGAATGATATTAAAAATATTTAAGTCTCAATATTTACTGTGAAGTAACCAAATTGAAATCCACGTGAGATGCTTAATAAGAAGTATTTTAGAGGATGAAATGCTCATTAGAAACACCTCCTTTCCCCTTTTCAAATCTAGTACTGATATTTTTAGGTTAAAGCCTTCTGCATTTCATAAATCATTTTTCTTAATAGCAGTCAAACAACTCATTTTATCTTGGTCTAACGGTACAAACAGCTTCTATATAAAAGACAACAAAATCATATTTGGTATGTGTGTTCTTTTTGAATCTTTGGGGAAAAAAACATACTGAAGCTTGAATAGAATCTGGTACAAGGGAGATGTTCAATAAATACTAAGTGAACAAATGGCTTCAAAAATCATGAAAATACATTATACTACTATATTCATTTATTAACAGAGCAAACCTCTCCACACCATTCAAAAATATGTAAGTAACCAAAATTCTAGGCAATAATCGCCTTCACAACATATTAAAAATATACACACATATCATTTTATTTAGGTTTATTATTAAATATTTTATTTGGGGGTTGAGGCACGATGTTGTTATACAATACTAATTAATACCTCAAATAGTCAATGTTAGGGGGTTAATATATTCCATTCAACATTTTAATAACAGTAAACAAAAACAGCTCAGCTATGCTGTAAAATCCATCAAACCACACAGATGGTTATAAGGTTTTCATTATGTGGTTTCCATAGCAATCATATTGCAAATCTGGAAGCTTCTTGCAAATAAGCAGCTTGTATTTACATGCCTCTCAGCTGCAGCACAAAACTCTTCAACATGTGAAGTTATTATTCCAATCACACATTGTTAGAAGAATCATCAGGAGATTTTTTTGATCAGACACAATGAAAATAACAATAAAGTGAACTAATTGTGGAAGATAATTAAAACATAGTTATACATTTACTACACTAAACAATGAACATTTAAAATATTCTGATAGTCACTGAAAGGTTTTAACACTGAACCCTTTACAAAATATGAAACCTCCAGGAGCAGATCCTAGAGAATCTAAAAGCTTTACCTCTACTCTCACTACTTTTTAATAGATATTCAGCCCTTTTTCTGAGTTGAGCAAAGAGAGAAAGAATAGCCGAGAACTGAGTATTCCCAAATCTTTTTAGGATGACTACCATTTGATGAAATGCTTACTGTGGGAAAAGTCAAGACCTTTTTTTCCCTGCTAGATTAATCAATTTAATTTACAAATTGATCCAGTTCCATAACAGATGGATTATTACCCTAATAAGGATCACAGATCTGTCTAGCTATGCAGTTTTTACAAAATGGCTATTTCTGGCTTACTAATGTTCTTTTTTTTTAAGGCTAAATAGCCAAAAAAGAAAAGTGATAAGCAAATGACATATGTGGCTGACATTGCTTGAAAAAGGCTAAAGACAATTTGTTAGCACCAAAACAGAGCCTGTGAGGTTCACATCGGGGCTAAGGATTGATTTTATCACATCTTCCAGGGAGAAGACGATAACACAAGAAAATCTTTTGTCTCACACAGTGATTACCTTTCTCACTAAACACCTTCAGAAAACAGCTCTACTGAATTGCAGTGTATTTGAAAAGACAGAAAACACAGAATCAAAAGTTATGCTTGGAAATAAAGCTTGGGTTTAGATCTCTACCTGCCCAGGCTTCATCTGATTACGTGACTGCATATTTATCACAAGAAATGTTAATACTTATTGCTTAAATGTGCACACTGTATGCACTTAAATCCATTATATAACTAAACCCTCATAACAATTTTATGAGCTAATAATAGGAACTTTCATTCTCTTTATGGACCCAAAAGTGAAATTTACAGAGCTTGAATAACTTGTCCAGGTTCAAACATCCAGTGAGAACAAGAGCTGTGGTTTAAACTTTCACATCTGCCACGGAAGCCCCAGCTCTAAGCCATATTGCCATTTTCTTGATTTTAATTAAAATCTTCAGTTTATAGACACATTTCTTGCTAAAATTTCATTTGAATATTGGCTGCTTGTGGACTTGAAAAACACTATCACATAAGTGGGTAAGTTCTACTCTACCATAG